CAACCACCACCAACGCGAATCACAAAAAGAGGTGGGCCACCAAGATTGGCTGCAGGAACGGCGTGAAGAGCTACAAGAACGACAACGGCAGCTTCGAGAACTACAAGTGGAAATACCTTACAACTCCTGCGGCAACTGCAACAACTACGTTTCTTTCAACAGCAACATCCGCCATCAAGACCGTCCTCCCTTACTGCTGCTTACTGCTGCAACAAGGTGCTGCTACCATCTGTCTCACGCCGCCAATGACGGAGTAATAGCATTCGCAGTTGCAGCAGCAGTAGGAGGTCAAACGGTTCAGGGGGAGTGTCCCGCTTTTGGGTGGTAGTGTCACAAAGGCACAAGTTAGCTGCTTGATGTGCTGAGCAAAGGCCACCTTCCACGCCATGGTAGCTGATTCCTTCGCATTTGCAGACGAAGCTGCAACAATGGTGAAAAAGTCGACGATAACTACCGTGGTTTTACTTGTGATCATTATGGTCAACTGCATGTTGTACGCGTTTGACTTCTTCTTCCTGCCGAACGAGCCCCAGACTAAATGCCACACCCTTATTGAATTGATGGAACCCCAAAATATGCCCAGCACCAATACAAAATTTATTTCCAAAGTGCCCCAACTTCCCCTGGTATGTCGCAACCGCATCCGTGGCACAGCCCACTATTGCGACATCCGTGTTTATCTCGACACAGCAACTCCAATTTGGTTATTGTCACATCCTTCGCTAGAACTGCTTTTGACAAATGGCTCCCTCCATTCACGTCATCTCCCTTTTGTCTCTCACGCTCTCTCGCTCACTTTCTGCGCACACACACTCTCTCTCTTCTCATCATCACTCGTTGGCAGCGCTCAGTGGCACGGGGAGGCGCTTGGTGTGCTTTGCCCCCAGTGGGTTGCCTTTCGGAAGCTCAACCCGATCTGCGTCCTTTGCACAAGGGGTGAAAGCGGCCTTTGATCTGTCACGCTTCCTCGAGAAAAAAAGGCATTGTTGGCAGGCGCACGGGATCCTCTGCAGGCGAGTCGCCAGTCGCCAGTCGCCATGGCCGACACCTCGATCCTGGCTGAGCTCAGCGAGGTCGTGCCCAATCTCAGCACCACCATCACCCGCTTCGAGCCCCATAATCGGCTCATGGTCTACACCATATCCACTTGGGTACGCATCGAGCTCGGTACACTCCATTCCGTTCACTCTGACATGCGCCAAGCCCAGACGAGCATGTCGCGGCTTCACCCTCAGAGCCCGGGCACGGGCATGCATGGCAAGCCTCACCCCCTCCCTTCCTTTGCTGTACACCAGGAGGAGGATAGTAACAAACAACACGTTGTCCGCCGCACCTACAATGGTTTGTTCTGTCTGGTCCTTGTGGCCTACATTGTCCCCGCTTTCTGAATCGCTTTCCTTCTCTTGTCGTCTTGTAATGGCACACTGATCGCGCTTTCACTTGACCCCGGGCTAGATTTTGAATGGCTCTATGACCGTCTCATTGAAGAAGAAGAGCTCAGCGGCTCCATTGTGGGTTTTCTTTCTTGACATTGGCTCGCCACTTTGGCATTGGGCCAAATTGACACCCCTGAGTGCGTGCTGACACGCCATCCCGCTGCTGTCTAGATCCCGCGAGTTCCCGATGCCGTCTTATGGGTGCCCAGCGATAACCTGGACCTATCACAGCTGACCCAAACCATGCAGCCCAAGACAATTGGTAGTGCCTGCCCTCGTTCCCCCACCTCTCCTGTCTACTTCAGTCCACCCTCCCCGACCCTCGACATCAGCAGCCCCTTCACCGGTTAGCTCACGTTGCTGATTCTGGTTACCTTTGTGGGACGGCGGGTCTAGGCATGGCCTCCTTTGAAATGGATATGGTGCAACAGCGTGCCAGCATGCTCGAGCGGTGGCTTCGTCGCGTCATCGCTCTGCCTGAAGTTCGCCAGGATCTCAACCTCCGCACCTTTCTAATGTTTCAAAACGAGGTTTGGTCCCCCATCCCTGCCATCGCACCACGGCTGCTCCGGCCGCAGCCGTCGTCTTCTCGATCATTTGACTGATTTGCCCTACCGCATTTTATCTTCCATCTCATGCGTTGCTGGCGACACTCAACAGCTGGGTGGCCGTCAACGGTCCTTGTGGCATGATTTCAAGTCACTCTTTTCAACCCAAGCCGAGGTATCCTCTTCTCTTCATCGTTTGGCACAGCGCTTGCCCCCCTTTCCCCCCGGTGTGAATAAAAGATTCTGGTGACAGCAGAAACTGAGCTGCTTTACCGTACCTCACGTGATCCCAACTGCCCGTAGCTGCCCCAAAAAGAGCAGGAGAGCACCGCTGACTACGAAGGCGTTTGGTTGCCCCGGTGGGTGGTGGTGGTGGTGGTGGTGGCTTATCCCCTTTCCGAGATTAAACGGCCCATCCCAAAGCTAATGTCGTGATAATATTCGCATTTTTTTCGCTTTGGCCGTTCTGTGCTGCCATCTGGCAGATTTCATGGTTGCAGCCAAGCTATCCGTCGTCGCTCGTACCGACACAAAGGTCAGCCTCTTCCTCCCAGCCCTCCTTCCAAAGTCATCTCATTCACGGCCCGAGGTGGGCACTCCCTTCCCTTGAGTTGTGCTACGTCAATCTGCCTCACCCGCAAAGTAAACTTGCCCCTGTCTTGTCGAACACGGTAGCCCTGGCATTGGCCTTTCGGGAGTTGCGCGAGGGCATCTCTGAAATCATGCAGGAAACCACGGACACAACCCTGCAGTGCGTTTTGGGCCGGTCAACCTCTAACTGCGTGGCGGTGTCTTCAAAATTTGCGCCGCTGTCACAAACCGACCTGACGGTCCCATGAAATTTGCCGCGCGTTTCTCATACTTTCCTCGCCTCCCAACACACTTCTAGATTCCTCATGTCCCTTCCTGATGTTCTGGCGGCCAGCGAGGTGAGGGGGGCGCAACACAACAATTGTGTCAATTTGCCTTTTCATTTTCATTGACAGCTTACACCATCATATGCCCTGTCTTTAGACCTCGCATAATCGTGCCATGAGGATTTGCGATGTGTCTCTCGACACATTGCTCTGTGAAACAAGCATCTCCTTTGAAGCTCGGGTTCATGCATATCAACGCCTGGCGCTAGTTCGGCAAAAACGGGAGGAAGTGCAAGCAGAGGCCCGAGCTGCACCGCCCGAGGAGCAAAGCATTGCGGAGGTAGCCTCCCTTCCATCAACGCATGAAAGAAACAAGAATGAAAGATCACCTTTCCCCCGCCCTGTTCATGACGCCTCTCACGACCATGTTCCTGAACAGGCAAAACTTGAACGCATGGAGCAGCTGGTCAATAAGCTGGACGCCGTACTAACGAATAACGAGCACACTCTGAGGCTAAATCATGTTGTGGAGCACAAACGCGCACTCACCGAGTACGCTGTCAACCAGGTAAACTTCGCTCATGCCACCCACTTCCACCCTCTCTTTGCATACAAGTTCGCATGCGTCAAGTATCCGCTCATTCGTCTATCCATTCATTCATCCACCCCGTGGGCTCTGTACATGCGCCTGTCGTCTCATCAGCCTCACCTTGTTTCCCAATCTCCTTGATGCAGATTGAATTGGCCAACGAGCAGCAGCAGGCGTTGGACGCCATCAGAAACGAGATTGCCAATCTGCCCACCAAAACATGGACAGCAGCTGATGACCGAGAGCTCGTGGCCATTTGGGAGCAGGGAGCAGAGGCCTCACTCGAAGATGCTGAGGCGGATTCTGACGAGCAAGAGTCGTGCCCGCGGGAGCGCGACGCCGAGGCCGCTCATCCCAGCGACCCACGCTCACCGTCTGCGGTCCACCGCCAGATCCTATCCTTTTGACGCAGATATTTTGACGAAGTTTGTGACTTGCCTTCAAAAAAAGCTTCACCTGAACCTGCCTTCATACGTTTCTTGTCATCATGTCCCTGAGGTTGGATGCCGACGTAAACCTTTTAGTCGTCAATTACCGTGTTGGAGTTTGAGGCGCCACACAAGTCAGTGGCTGCCAGATTTGTACAAGTTTAAACACTGACCAGCAAGAAACACAATTTATTCACATGTCAAGAAGAAAACCAGGTCAAGCACAATCATTAAACAAATACACCGAGCATCAATAGTGGCCCCACCAGTCCTCTGCATCGACATGGACAGACGACAGACGACCACAGAAATTCAGGCAAGATGCAACAGGGGAGGTCAATCGCCTTAAAAGGCAGGCCAAGATCTTGGTTAGAGGCTGCGCCCACACATGCCGTCGGCATATGGCACGCAGTTCAGGTAGTCACACCAGGAACAAAATTCCGTGTTTTGAATCTGATAAAACGTGACAAAGGCAGCCACGAACATCACCAAGAGCAAGGGGGCACAGATGAACAGGAGCAGCCGCTTTCGGGCTAGGTCCCATTTGCCAAAGGTGATGTACGGGATAAAGATAATGCCCGACACGAGCCCTATCCAAACAAGCATGCAGCCCATGAAGAGCCAGACACAGCGTGAGACAAAAAGCCGCTGTACACGGCACGGTGCATTGTGGTGTGAGGGAGGCTGGAAGAATCCCTTGAAAGCTGGCCTGCGGCTCGTACCAAACGCGAATCCTCCAATGTGACTCCAGTTGTCCACATACGACGTCGTGCCAACGAGGAGCAGCACGGCAATGACACCCCCCAGGCCGGCCAGGCTCAACCCAGGACGATCCACCAGCTTTGTAATCCAGTCCATATTATGAACAATGGCGGGTGAGATATCACACGCAAAAGGCATGGTAGCAACTCGCCAAAAGACGACAGAAGCGCCCCACTCTTTCGCGCACCTGCCAGGACTGAAACAGATCGACCAAGTGCACGGCAAGGATGCCATAAACAGACGGGTTGGTGCCAACCGACACGTCAAGTGGCGAGAAGACGGCAGCAATGCAAGTCCCGCCAATGCCACTGATAAAGTAGATCAAAAGGCTGCGCATGGCACCAATCTAAAAAGAGCATCAACGGAAGAGGGCAAGGAGATAAGAGAGAAGAAGACAAAGAGGATTGACATACGGTTGCATGGCCCGACGGCATCGGGGCAAAGGGCAGTGCTTGTGCCACGGCCAACGTACATGCGTTTCCATCTTGCGCCCATAATAATATTGGGCAATCAGCACCAAAATGGCGTGGGCCACGCTGGCATGGAAGAAGAGGGGTGTGATGAAACGCCACCACTGACTCGGATTGTCCGGCAGATTGCGAAAGTCCTTGCGAGCATCAATCGAGGTGCCGGTCTATGGTGGCTCATCCAAGACACCATTGAGCAGGTGAGATCGATTCAAGCTCCTCGCAGACAAGTGCCCAAGACCAGGTCGCGACGCCAACTGATTGTGCGCGTACCCCAAACAACGTGCACGTTTCTTTGAGACAAAGGACGTTGGAGCACAATTGTGCATCCATGTGCCTACTCATGCAGGACGAAAACAACCGCGCATCGTCTCTTCATAAGCACCTGCAAAAGTCCTGCAAGACTGTCTGGGCATGCGATGATGGTGATAAGCTGACCAATAGCCGTTGAGAAAAGCACAGGTGTCTTCTGTTGTGAGCTGGCAGGATCCAACGAGATCAAAACCACAGCAAGGCCTGTTCATCACCGTCAAAAGCATAACCAAAACATCACGGGTTATCAGCTAGACCCGGTGGTCGCTCACAGCAAAGAGCGATGATGCAACGGCAACACTACACAGCCACCAGGCATGGGCACAGGAAGCGTACCGCCATGTAATAAAGTCTTCCGTCTCGTCACACAGGTCATTCACCCAGGTGCCATCAAACGAAGCACACTCTGCCTCGGTTGTTTGACCTGACTGGCCGTTGCCCAGCGTGCAGCACCCTACAGCGGGGGTACGGGCCGTGTTTCACGCCATCATTATGCCAAGACACGGCGAAAAGTGGGCGTGGGCGAACTCTCATGGTTGCTCGGCGCCCACACACAAGCTGAGCCTTTCCCTGGCCCTCCTTTGCCTGCTTCCAGAGTTGGCCGAAGCACGAATACATACCAGTACCATCGTCGGCGTTGCCCTCGCAAGGGTTTTCACGACCGTTTCCGCACTCGAGAGTGCGAGTGCGGATGGCGGCCTTGGTTACGCTCTCGTCCTCGCGCATGCACGGAGCAAATTTGGCCCCAACTTTAGCCAAGTAGATGGAGGAAGGGCCGTAGCCAGGATTAGCCGAGGTCACACGGGTGACATCAGCCGAGGAACTGTGAGGCACGAAGCGCAAACACATGTGAATGGGCACGCCCAGGCGTATGACATGTGAATGACATGGCTCTGGAAGAGTGGGCATATATGTGTAGGGGGGTCGGCGTACCCATTGAAGGTCAGGCAGGCAGGGCTTGAGTCGCTACCGCAAGTGTTTCGTTCGTTCTTAAAGGCAAAGGGTGCCATGTAATCTGTTGTATATGCATGTGCGAGAACCAGGATCATGATGATGATCTAGGAGTGTGGGTACAGAGCACGGTAAACGTAAGAGACAGCCTTCAGGGGACGCATGGGGCAACATCATGTACTGGAGTGAGCTACATGGCCACCAGGCCAGGCTTCAGTCGGTGGCACCAAATGACTCAAACACACCCACATCACCCACACACCTGCAGCGTAGTGATGGCATTGATAAAGACGGGGGTGTATTCCGGTAGCGCTTGGAGTTGGGCCTGCACGAGGGTGTCGTTGTTGAAACGAGATTTGCGACGATGCTTGGTCTTTTCCTCCTTTGTGAGCCCGGCGTCGATGACCGATTCACGGCGACGGTTGACCTATTTGCGCTGGTCCACTGAGACTCGACACACTTCCGTCTGCCAATATGGGAGAGCGATACCGAGAGACAAAACGAGGACTGCGCATGGGTGGCCCAAACAAACCTGTCCACCAAACCACCCAGGCTTGACAATCTTGCGCAGTTCTTCCTCATGTAACCAGACATAATGCTCCCAGCCTTGCTGGGGATCGCGAGTCGTCTGATGGTCTACACACATGCTCGGAATTGATGGCTTGATCAGCAAGGGCGGAGCCCGCGGAGCCCCCCCCCTTTTTTTTTATTCCAACAAAGAAGTGCAAGGAATGGAAGTGGAGCGAAATCATCGCACCTGCTTTCTCAGGATCGAAGCGATGGTCTGATGAATCATCCTCCTCCGCGGCGAGTTCCAACATGTCCTCCTGCGCCTTTGTCAATGTCTTGTTGCGGCGATGTAGGGTTTGCCCCATGGCTTTGGTGTAGTTGTATTGCTGCTGGCGATAAGCCAACTCGTCCTCGTCACCCCGCACGCCCAACCAGCGTGCCATGCCGTCGAAGGCACGCTCGCCTATCCTCGTCAAGCGAAGCGCATGGGTGGAGTACAAGTTAGGTCAGAGGGGGCGGATTTGATGACCTGCAGCGTCCTGGCAGCGGCTGCCAAACCTTGGCGGCGCGATTTTCCCAGAAAGGTCTCCTCGCCATTTTCGGTTGCCCATAAGCTTCGGCGCGAACGCCGGCGCTGATGCGGCTCTGCCATGTTCGCCACAACGCCCAACGTTCAACCCCGCCGTCAGTCCCCCTCGGAAGAGCTTGACAACTTTTTTCTTTTTTTTTTCTTGTTGTTGGTCCTCTTGTTTGTGAAAAAAAACCAAAAAACAAGAAGCTGCCCCACACACTTGTTTCTAGTCATCCTTCGCTTTTGCGTTTGTGTTTGTGTTTCGCATTCTTGGATATTCCAAGTCACACGGCGCTTGGGCAGAGTGTGTTTGAAACGGAGTAGGCAAGTGTCAATGGTTGGAAGATGGATTGGTAAAAAAACAGCGCATGCCTTGTCATAAGCCGAGTTGGTAGAGTGTTTCCAATGAAGTGGGTCGCGGATTTTCTTGTAGCAACGTCGTCAGCCGAGCCTTGGCTATAAGCAGTAGTACCACACCAACACATGAGCGCCCCCTACATGCACCCAATCACGAAACCGCTTTCCCCTCTGCGAGCCAGACGTACCTTGAGCCACCACCAGCGGAAATTCGTCCCGCGCTGCGGCACCACGGCCATCAGCATATGGTGCAGAGCAGGTCGTTGCGTGAGTCGACCGACTCAAGGGAGCGGGCCACAAAAAGGATCACACACAACGAAACCAGGGTTGTTTGCCGTGGAAAGGTCAAGACGCACCGATTTGGGCGTTGCGGGCACACTGAAGCACAATATGCACCAGCAACATGTACACGTGGCTCCACCACGCCTCATCGCCATGGCAAAGAAACCACATGAGTGGAGATAGGTGGGGAATTGCAGTCGAGTCTGCCCAAAGATCCAGTGCACCATATACAAATGACAGGAGGCGAGCATAGGAACCAAATGAAATCATAGGGGGAAGGGGAACAGCAGAGAATTAACGGAAAAAAAAAACCGTGAGAGAAGGCCGGTTGGGGGGCATCAGTTTGGCGAGCACATGCAGCAATACCGTTGAGTGAGCTATGGGGAATGCGAACGAGGCTCATTAGTGCGTTGGCCGTTGAAACCAAGACGGTAATGACTGGCAAGTCGAGCTCAATCAGCTGCAAAGTGATGGTGGAGCAGGGTCACATGCAACATGAGAGGAGCTCCTCCTCGTGAAAGCATAGATTCCTCTTGAAGATTGGGAAAGATGCGTCGAGTTGCAGCCACGGACCTCTGACGCCAGTTCTGGTTCTAAGCGCAGCAGGTCCAACACGCTCGAAAGCCCGACCAGCCCTGTTGTGGAAAAATTGGCATGTAGAGGCTCCTGGTGTAGAGGCCATGTCAGCCAGAATCCAAGCGCGTCTAGAGAGTTGCTGTGGGCCCGCATTGTAAGCTGCTCGTACCTCGAAACCGAGAACATCGGCTAGGGGTCGTTCAGCGTGGCTGGGCGGTACAGCCCGTTGCAATAGCTGTAACATTTCTTCAAGTTGCTGGGCATGTGTCGTGCACTGGGGTAGCAGAGTGTCACATTGAGTTTAGAAAGATGTGGCGGTTGCCAACGTGCGCAGGCACGGGCAAGCGAGATCCAAGTGCCGGGGCTTAGGCGACAGCACATGTTCATGCAAGCACTACTTCTTGTTTGGGGTGCACGGATGTGCAGTCAACTTACACGCAATGGGTCCAAGGTCGCACGCAAGAGTTGCATGCGTTGCTTGCCAAGCCGCAGTTGAGCGTGGCGCCGGCGCTTCAGCTTGGCAAGGACTGCATCGAGGGCCTAGGGTACACGAACACGCCATGGAAAATGCACGTGTGCTCAAGGTATCGATTCAACACCTATTCTCATCGGCGACAAGAGGACCCATGGACATTTATTTACCTGCAAGAGAGCCGGACCACAGCGAAAGGACATGCAAAACTCGTCTTCTTGGCCCGCCGTCGCTGTGCCGGCATGGGCGCCACCCGAGCTCCCAAAGTTGGGTTGATGCACAAAGAGGCCTACCTGGTGAACCATGGAGGGATCACCATACTCGCGAGGGGTGTGGTCGATCATCGAGTGGAGACGGATGACATCTCCCACATATATTCGTTGAAGCAGGCGCACGTCACGTGCGGAGAAGCTGCCCAACAAAAGTCGTGCATCGCTGGTAATTATGGCGTGTTGGACCACAACGCCGTCCACCTGGCAATCGTCAACGTTGTAGAATCCACCTTGAGCTGCCAAGACCTGCTGTTGACGCAGGGCCTCCTGCAGGTCAGCCTCGGCGGCAAGTAACTCAGCCGTGCCTTCCTCACTGATCACATCATTGGGCGCACACAGGAGAAGCCGATCCATGGGTTGAGTATCACGGAAGAAAGACGCGGGCGCAGCCCTCAAAAGAGTATAGCAAGACGATGTTACGACTTACCACTTGATGGCCACTCGCTGACGCAGCCGGTCGATGCGCTTTTGCTGGGCCGGCACGCGCATATGCTGCGTCTCCTCCAGCCAGCCGTGATTTCGCTTGAGCCACCCGTCCGCCTCCATCGTTGAGTAAATGGTTGTCTGACAATTGTTTGAAAGAAATAAGTACCCACAAGCCGAGTAAAGTTATGGATTGTATATAAGCGTTGAACAATCTCATCAACAGCATCGCTTCTAGCCTTTTGGCTATGATCTTTAGTAGTAAACGTTTATTGTTCTTTGACAAGAACAAGCCCATCTCCGGATGGGTAACTTGTCAAGTCAATATTTGGCAGCGGTGGTTGCTCTAGCTTGCTAGGGCTCCACAAGCATGGCCTCGGAGCTGCACTATTTCCGAGCGCTGTGCACGTACTCTCTTTTAATGAATATTAAATGAAGAACTTGCCAAGGCGAGAAGAGCAAATTGTTACTTGACTTATTCTGTGAGTGTCTGTTTGATTTGCACGATTATGGTTGGTGCAATGTCGCCCGACTCAAAGAGGCTCGTCGTAAGCTGAGGCGTGCCAAAAGGTCGAAATTGGCGAAGAAAAACCGGTAGAAAAGCAGAAGCAGATGTATGGGCGGCATCCTGTGTAGAGGGTGATTCTGCTGCAGGGATTGCACTTGCCTGGAGGCTGAAAGGCAATGTGACCATCATGTTTCATGCCCAGATGCGCTGAGCTGTTGCTGCTGCGGCACCAGTACATGTCAGTCATGGTGTTGGGTCGGTGTTTGCCTGCTTTGATTGAACCACTCTGGGCCGCGCTCGCCGATGCTGTTTGAGAAACTCAGTCAAACACGGTATTGTGAGGCTAGCTCGGCCCATAGGGTGGGCCATCGTCTAATGCCAGAATTGCCTTATGTCAAAACTGAGCATTTGGTTGCATCCTTTTCGGTATTTGCATGTATGCACGTATGCCGGATTCCAATCCGTTAGGCACCGCCTGATTGTACTCACCCAACCCCAAGCGCCCACAACACTGTTACGCTCCGTGTCCAAGGCGTGCACACTTCATCACCAGGCTTTTGTGCAGCCATCGTCCTCCCCAGCTCGACTTGTGTGGGTGGGTGACAGCCCCTGCTCATGTGCCACCTGGCAACGACCCACCAGCGCATGAGCCCCAACGCTAGCATTGGTCCGCCCACGCTGGAAGGAAGTGGACATGATCCCAAACCGGACCAAGTCATGCTTGGCGGAATCGGAGCGCACACGAGGACAGCCAGTTGTGTTGCTGACGCGCGCGCGCATCATTCATTTGCGCAACGTGCTCTGTCAAAGCTCAATCCTTCAAGGGTCCAATGGCGGACGAGACACACCGTCCCCGCCGTGGGCGCAGGCCTGCTGTCTACCACCCAACTCGTCTCGCTAACCCCAAAAGTTGGGGCCCAGGTCCAGGTCGGAGCCACCGTTTCATGGTCATGCTGCCAAGAGCATTCACTTCATTTGCCCCCTGATCAGAGATTGCGATGTGCAAAAGCGCAACACACAAACGAGCGTTCAGCTTGTTCTTCTCATTCCATCATGCCCCTTCCTCGGCCAAGCCCGCGCGAGACGGGACGGACGCCTACTTGCGAAGGAACCAAAACTAGCTCGCACCCTGGCCAAAGTTCGGGTCATTTTCTTTCCCCCCTGGACACGCACCCACTGCCGGTGCTTGCGTCGTGCTCGGTGGCCTGATCCCACACACGCGAGCTTACGGTGCCATTCACGAACCGCCAAGTATGGCTCTCGAGACGCAAAGCTACCCGCAAAATCAGCTCTGGCTCCACCGCCTGCAGCTAGCCGTCCTGCTCTTCGTCGTGACGCATGGTGCTGGATCTGCCGTGGCTACCGTCCCTCCTTGCGATCTTGGCGCCTTTGTCATCGCCAGCAATGACAAGCAGTACCTTCTCGTCAACACCGTGCGGCACTCGTGGGTCGATGCCGCCGCCCACTGTGTCTCCTTGAATGCCCGGCTTGCCAATCCCGTGGCCCCAACAGACTTTGCCGCCATTACTTCCGTGTACCATGCTAGTCCTAAGAAAAGCTTTTGGGTCGGCGGCCGCATCGCGTCTGAAGCTCCCCCTTTGCTTGACTTTGCCTCCGTCTTTGTGAATCCGGCCACAATCCCATTTCAAGGCTCACTGGGCGGTGATGAACGCTGCATCCAATACAACTCCTTTGCACGAGTACTTCAGCCCAAGGCTTGTCGGAAGCGCCGCTTCTTTCTGTGCGAGCGCTCCTCCCCCGCCACCTTTTGCGCAACGCACCCTGCCACCGCCACCACTCAGCCACAAGCCCCAAGTATCATCCAGCTCCCGGGAACTTTCAGCTTTGACGATGCTGCTGCTGCTTGCCAATCCCTCGGCCATGAACTAGCCGCGCCCCACAACCAAGCAGAGTTGAATGCTATTGTGCAAGCACTCCATGACGACAAGATCAACATGGCTGCAGAATTTTGGCTCGGCATGAAGGTGGACGAAAACATCCATCTCGTCTTTCAGAACAGCACAATGGCCGTCGATATTTCACAATTTACAGCCCCTGCCATAAAAACCCGCTGGCGCAATTGTGGATTGCTCAAGATTCAACAGGCCAATAGCGGCCAGCTTCAGACCAACCGTTGCAACCGTCGCAAGTAAGTCACCCACCGCCCTCGCGGTCAATAGCCGAGGCTATTCCAAAGTTTTTTTTGTTTGTTTTTTTGTTTTTTTTTTGTCTCCTGTTAGCGTCAAATCCGTGCTTCCACGCATTTGAACACTCCCACTGCTTTCGCACACACTCAGCATCGGTCGCTATGGGTCTTCCTATTGGTATTCCATAGCTACGACGACCTCACACATTGACACCTACTTTTGGACCCCCTGGGCTTGATCCTCCTCGTGGCAGTCACATGAGTAAACACCGCGTGTGACGCGGTCCCCACGATGCCTGGGCAGCTGCCCTGGGGCAATAAGCTTGTGGCTACTGTTGTTTCCCTTTGTTGTGACACCTGCGGTCGGGCACGAGTTGCACTTTCCCTATCCTCGGGATTGAGCGACTCTACAGCTATTCTAACGGTGCACCTGGTCTGGTCACTGTGAATGCTTGCCGACCGCAGCTGGTTCAATTGACCTCAAGACACCACCAAAGCTTTCGCTCCGCTCCGACGGACGTCTCTCAAACCTCTCTCAAAACGCTTCCTCAAACCTACGCGCTTCCTCGCAACCCAAAGACGGCCTCCAGACGTGCTGGAGCCTGACATGGTAGCGATTGAAAACTTCGATCGACCGACCGCCCTTCTTCAATCTTTGCGCTGGATAGCATGTCCTCGCGCACCCGTTCGCGAACTGGGCCCCCTGGCCAAGGAACCCACGAGCTTAACTTGGAGTCGGACA